AGTACATCAGAGTTACAGCTTGCCCAAAGGGCAAGCACAAAAATTTGTTTTCTAGGCATGGTTACTATATGTACAACAACCACAGAAAATTGTGTACACTGTAAAGTGACAATGAAAAACAGTGTAGAGATTTTTACAATTGTTTTTTTTGGCTGTTTATACTGTAAACACAGCACTTTGAAAGAGGGGGATCTTTATCCAACTCTAAATTACTGTTCTGTATGTACATGTAAGCACTACAGGGGAACTATCCATTTCTTACATCCCAGATTCTTGTCCCTTCATGTGCCCTTATGCAACATTATTCATTGCATGAACAAAGCCCTCTCCTACCTTAGACCATCTACTTCTGCAGGACTTGTTCTGCCATTTGCTATCTCTGTTGATGACCTTGACAATCTTTCACTGGTTTCCTCCATGATGGATGAATTAGAAATATTTGGTTGCGATTCTGCTTGACGATAGCTCTCTAACAAATTTTCATGCGAAGCGCTAAGGTTGTCAGTGGAATCGGAAATATTAGAAGGCTTCTTGTTTTGAGTTATCTCAGCAAATTTCTGTTTATCTACGTTGAACGTGGAATAGAAATCTGATGAAGAGAAAAGTTCAGAAGCTGTCTTGTAGAGATTTGGCACTTCGCTGTTTTTCTTGACCACAGCACCATTGGAATGATTCGTAGGTCCAGGTATAACTCCACCTTCTCTGTAATTAATAAGAGAATGACAGCAAAGAAATATTAATTATCATTTGAAGAAATTGACAGAGCATGTACAAAAAGCCTTACACAAACATGAAATGGGTTTCAGAGAGCTCAGTAGAGTTTGCATGAGTATAAACCGTATGCAATCACCAACCATACTGTTTTCATTTCCCACCTCTCGAATAAGTCAGATGTACTGCAGTGATTAAAAAAATGGAATAAATTTTAAGTCTGAAGGGAAGTATGCTTTGCTAGAAGTAAATAAATACACAAGGAGTATCTTATTGGCTTAGTTCTATTCATATCAGTCTCCATAATTTGCAATTACACCCAACTTGCTAATCATAAGTTAAAATTATCCCTGCAAAGTATACAGCTCACCTTTTCAAAGCAATTTTAAGCTTTTGTCTTGAACACCTCACTAATTCAATTGCCTCTGCTCGAGACTGGCATTCAATACCATTTATAGCCACAATTTCATCTCCCACTGCAATGGCTTGAGAGAGATCAGCCTTACCACCAGGAGTAACCTGAAATAAAAAAAATAGCTTCATGAATGTGAATATCTTACCACATATTATGGCCTAATGAACAGGAATTCTCCATTTGCCAAGGATAGGAAGATTAATATTAATTTAATATCATCAAAATCTCATCTGTTTCCAGGAGAATTTTGCATCTCCATCAAAAGTTTTTTTTTAGTATTTTGTAATCAGTCTCTACACGTACACGTTAGTGTGTACTTTTCCACAACAGAGTTGTATCCCTGTCTTTCAGTGTTGATGTTTGGAGTCAAACACACAGCGTGAAGCAAAAATATTTTTTTCTAGATGAGCTATGTTGTAAGTTGGGGTAGTGCTACAATGTAACTTGATTTCCATTCTCAATGGCGTTACATGCGCTTTAAGCCCTGAGAGAACACAATTTTTTTGCCTGTTAGTGTACATATAACCATCATTCCTCGGGGACTGGACAGTATGGAATCCATCAATTCCCCTGGTTGAGATGGATATTGACAGAAATCAACAGCCTCTCATCTAGAATTACAGCATTTGTCTATCTAAAGAAAGTTCCAACATCGGCAGTGTAAGCAAAGAAAAGCACCATGCAGCCTTTTATTTTGCTTTTATTTAGTCATATAATTTTGTTGTTAGCTCTTCAGGCAAAAAATAAACAAATCAAGTATTTATATATTATTTTTAAATATTGTTTTTTAAATAAACAAATGAATAAATGCATAGATCTATACAACTTCACAAGAGCACATACATGTTGTATCATACACAATTTACAGCACAAAGGAAAAGAATAGAGAACAAAACCTCAAGTTTTGCATTTTATTCTGTATATACAGGAGACATTGTCTTCAATTACCTCAATTTCCAAGTAGGAATATAAATAATACAACCAAACTGTCATTAGCTAACCGATAAAAATGTTGGGGATTATTGAATGAGGGAAGCTTGTTTGTGGCTGCTTCACTTTACAAAACTGCAATAAAGTTCTGGCCAGATCTACCACCCAGTCTCAGGGTGTACAGAAAAAAAAATTCAACTTTGTCTTCATGCAAGCTATGATGTACAAGTCATACCATCATTTTCAAAAGGCCAAAAAATATTTTCCCATTACCAGAATACATATCAATCAGCAAAAGCTAAATTTAAAACAATAATTTGATCTCTTAAGTACACCTGCAATGCCAATTGTCTCAAATTTAACACCAAAAATCTTCCCTGCCTGTCAGAATAGAAACCATGTACCCAACCACAAAATCTCCTAGCCCAGAGCTATCAAAAACAACCTTTTTACCATGCTGACTGGATCTTATCTACAAGTGGGTATAACAAAATGTTTTTCATATTCAGGGTTTGAAAGATGTTCCACATTTTTTCTGCTATTTTATAAGTGAGTTGAAACCTGAAAATAAATGCTTAGAGAAACCCCTGCTATGACCTAAAGAGCCTGATGAAAAAATTTGGATACCATGTTGTCATCAGATACATTGAACAGACAATTAGATAATACTGCTACAGAAACAGAAGTGAAAAATAAACATGGGATTGTACAATTAGAGGCAATGTCAACAACTTTGTCACAAAATCTGCATATTTTATTATTAATCCTCCCTACATCCTAGACCTCTTTTGGGCCAGGGAAAAATAACAGAAGAGTTACAAATTATCCTTAAATTATCATACATTTTAAATTAGATTAAAGGTTTATCAGACAGAAGCTTGACTCTAATTACCAACTTCTCTAAAATTATTTAAAAAGCAAGGCAAACTTGGATAGAGGGAATGCAAAATTATCTTTTAAGTATAAAAGCTCCATATAGCTATTTGTTGCAAATAATATCTTACAACATGCCATCTGGCATAGTAACAAAATTATACAATAATTATCATTATCAATTTTTTTTTGCCAAACAAATTGTTTCTAGGGAGTTCAAAAGCAGCACATATCAAGGAAATTATTTTATGCATCGAGAATTCTAGACCTAATATTATTCAAAATTTATACACATTCCAAGCAAGGATAAATGAACTTCAAACAACGCCTCGAATCTGCTTACAGGAACATATCACACTAAGTAACGAAAAAATCCCAGGGGAAAAACGTCTTGATCAGATAAATCGAGATCCATTTAGCAAGAAAAGAGTGGAAGTGAATTTTTAAGAGTTCCTCAGACTCATAAACAAATAGGCTAGACAAAATTATATAAACTACGCTGAGGGAAAAGGGAGATTACCAACAATAACAAGAAGGATTCCGGACATTCTTACTACCTCCGTGTAACACGACCACGCAGAAAGGAAATAATTTTTCCTGTTGGTTTTTCTAGACGTGAAACGTCTTGCTGTTCTCAGAATTACTCGACCATGTCCTATATTTCGTACGTATTTGCAACTTGCCAAGCTTAAGGCGGCGTTGCAACGTTTTCGAAGTTAATACTTAACATTGAACGAGGAAAATTGTGACCTGTTTTTCTGTTTTAACTTTACAAACATTCCCTGGCCGTCGAAACCACTTCGTAAATTAGGAAAGAAAGATAACCTTGTCAAATTTGAGAAGACATAGAATTCCACATAGCATAAAATTTCACGAACCTCGTTTGTCGAAGGTGATCCCCAAAACAGACGTGTGCTAGATTTCAAACCTGAGTAGTCGTTCCACAACGTTACCGTGGAATGCGAGAGATTTTAGCGCAACTTCGACGTAACACAATATTTAAACTCTGCACTCTGTCATGAACGCAACATCCTGCGAATTTCCAATCGCTAGAGGGCTTGTGATAAGAAAGTGAGCTTCGAACGTCAATCATTGCTGCTGGTGGTGGGCACCCAGTCAGCAATTCATACATTTCGTGCGTACATTTGTAGCGAATCCTGTTGCTCGATTCTCGAAAATTCTTTTGGAGTGCTTTATATTCAAACTTTGAGCGTTTATAGAAGAGGTGATTTCAATACAGACTACTCATTGGAGGACGTAATTAGGTGTGAAGCATCTTAAAAACGCAGCCATCGCGTCAAACCTACGGAAGCTGTAACGACCGCTATATCAGCGTTGTGGAAAACAACTTGGGTAGGATTTCATCGTCAACCAGGAAGGTAATATTATACCGAAAAACAAAACTGATTATCTTTCAATCAGAGCTTGTGGTAAAGGTATAACATTTGTGATTTGTCTGTCGCTGGACTTATACCTACGATCAGTTATGGAAATATAGCTAATCAATCTACCCACAATTCTGACTACAAAACACACAGTAAACAAAGAAAGGGCTCGAGGCCACATCTACCGAAGGATATTACAGTTAATATCATTTCCTAGTGTACTTCGTCGCTTCATAAACCACGCACACGTAGGAAGGACGTGTTAGTTGGATTACTGACCTTTAATACGGAAAGTTTCGTCCTGTTCCTGAATTCGCTGCCCCCTTGTAGTGTAAAACCCCAAGGTGAACCTCCGGAGAGAACGACATCAAAGGTCTGCCCTGAACCCTTCGTCTGTGGATTGAATTTATACATGGTCCCTTATCGAATCGACGTACATCTCCTGGCGTGTAATTCTATGGCATTTCAACGGAAACGTGGTAAAGGAAGATACTTGTTTTCCTCCGCCGAATAAAGCTCCCGAACCGGGAAAAATATGTGTATGCAAATGTCCCTACATACAAATAGTGGACCAGCAGCCTTTCCACACACCCTGCGTCAAAGCGAGGCCTGGACACCGCTGTCCTGGGCCTTCCATGCTGCGTTCGAAAATCTCATATAACGCAAAATTTGATTGGTCTATATGAGAAAAGAAGCTAATAGGGACCAATCAAAACATTTCTTATATTTGATGAAGTCGCGCGAATTCGCGGGAAATCTTGATTGTTTTGATGTCTGAAGGGAATCCTGCTCCGGGTTTTTATGCAGAATTTCTAATATTCCCTCCCTTCCAAGACTCTCCTTACTTCATACGAGCACGGAAATTTGTCGTCGAAGTAAGTCGTGGATTCGCTTGGCAGTGTGGTTACAAAATTTTCAAGAAATTTAACGGAGAAGTGCTACCCTCTCTCAGTGATCCTCATATTGCAATGTCAAAGCGAGTGCCAACTTCAGCCCAAGATGTTACAGGGACCGAAAAAGCGGCTAAATTGACAGAAGTAAACTGCAACAGAGATGCATCGTTTAGTAACGGCACAAAGCAAGAAGGCTTCGCTCCACAAACTCCAGCGAAGACTGCAAAGCGAACAGACTATCTTAGCTGGGACGAGTATTTCATGGCGGTCGCATTTCTCTCTGCACAGAGAAGCAAAGACCCGAGTTCGCAAGTCGGAGCCTGTGTCGTGAATCAAGAGAAGAAGATTGTGGGAATTGGATATAATGGAATGCCAAATGGATGCAGTGATGATGAATTACCCTGGGCAAGACATGCTTCAAATGAGCTGGAAACAAAATACCCCTACGGTAAAATGGATTATCTGGTTTATAAGCTTATCGGTATTGCGAAAGTTTTAATCCACTGGTTAAGTATATTTTTCTCTTTGTATATTGAAGAGTCATTTATAGCCTTGTTTAATTCTTATTTGAAATCATTATTTTAAGGTAGGTTCACATCAGTATAATCCGATAAGCTTAAATTATTGATTTAGCTTCTAACGGTTCAAAA